CTCTCTGTTTCTCTTTTCATAAAATTTTTAAAATGAGGCGATTTTTTTTAATTTTTTTCTGAATACTGAGCTAACATGGTGGAAATATAGGACAAGTGCGAGTACAAGCGCATTTTGGAATGCTTTAGAAGGAAAAAAAAACGTTTGAGGCGCATAGTTCAAAATGATGCATGTAGAAACGAGAAACAGAGATATTTTTCAACTAACATGAGATTTGTGGAGTTGTCATGCAGATTCAAAGCAAGCGATAACTATGTAATAGACGTGGTGTGTGAATCCCTACTCAGGGCTAGAAAAATTTGAAATTTCTTAAGTTAAAACCTTTTTTTTCAAAACACATCTGTAATCTTTCCATATTTGGAATTCTTATTCCTTAATAAGCTAAGATGCAGATATTTTGTGCAATACTGTAAAATACTTTATTTTAGCTGGAATTAATATTCGCCGAAGACATTTGGGGTGTTTTATATGGAATTTATTTTCACTGATTTTTGGCAAGTTGAATGTAAAATACAGAAGAAAAAAAAGATATTCGCTGGATTTTATTTTCACTGAATCATTCCTTCAGCAAAAATAAGGTCACTGGTAGCATAGTGGTTGTCGCATCAGACTCATGATCGGTAGACCCAAGTTCAAATCCTACCTTGGGCTGAACATCAAAGGGTTGACCCCTACCCTGGGTGAGTGTGCCACAGACTCAATGGGAAGGCCAATTCCACTGGCCGAGATTCATTCACTTACGAATGCAACTTTGGGAAAACCTTGGTTAATTCCGCAGGTGCTTGTGTTCGACCGAGCCTGGTTGACGCGCATTAAAATTGCCATTTGATAGGGAGATGGCCACACAGCCCTGTCATGTAGTCCCAAACAGGACTAGCACTTGCAATTTGCACTTAAAAAAAATAGTCAGGAGTGACAACAGCAACATTCAATGTCCGGAACTGTCGCCTGGCACAAAAACATTTAAAAAAAAAAAAAAAAATAAAAAAAAAATAAGGTATTTTACAGTACCACAAAATGACATCACTCTGTAACTGGAAGATATGATGTCAGATGTACAATAATATTACTTACCCCACATCACCTGACTTTGTACTAGCTGCCACTTCATTACACTGACTGTGTTCATCACACGTCAGATCTGCATGCCATGTTGCCTTGCACAGGAGAACAGAAACTTGAGCCGCACTACGTTCAAAAAACGAAAATGCATTGATTAGAACCAAAATCATGCGAGTTATAGCGACTTCAGCAATAGGTATATACCGGTACTGTTAGTTTTGGAATACTCACTGTTGGACAGTGTACATGCTTTGGCTTAGAAAACTCCCCTGTACAAACATGACACACCGTCTCACAGCCAGCTGCAGGGCACCATGTCCTGTTGGGATCACGATCTACCTCTATTGGAACAACAACAACACAACAAATTTCAGTCAATGTGAAGCTACAAGATTGTGCCCGATTGGCTTACCAACTAACCAATCAAAGAGCAGCTTGTTTATTAAAAGCTTTTTTCAAATTCTTTTTAAAAGGATTGAGTATTTGCATACTGAAGTATTGTCGTTTATACATGTACACCTAGAGCCAATCAGATTAAAGTACAAACACTACAGGTACTAAATTTATAGGACATTACATAAACGCTTACCTAATGAGAACTTGTATTTGAGATATTTATCATATGTATCCTTAGCAACCAATTTTTTAATCTGAAAAAGAATTTAAAAAAATGTAATAGTTGAAGGACATGAAAATCTGCTGCACTGATTTGATCAATGTGCACACTTTGAGTTGTCCACCTGATTTTTCTACAGATACTCCACATGTTAGCAAGAACAAATTCAAAGTCTGAATTCCCAAAACTATGCCAAATACCAAAATCAAAACCCTATATTTATATCAATAATGTGTGGTTAAATACCAGCTATCACCTTTCATTTCAATATGATCTTAGACTTTTCATTTACTGTAGAATACTTTATTTTCACTATTTTCGCTGAAGGGATGATTCCATGAAAATAAAATCCAGCGAATATACTTTTTTTCCTATATTTCACATTAAACTCATCAAAACTCAGTGAAAATAAATTCCATATACAACACCCAAAAAGCCTTTTCAATGAAAATTAATTCCAGCGAAAATAAAGTATTCCACAGTAGTAGTTATAACTCATGAGAACACATCCTTCCAATTAAATTGCGCCCTCAGGCGACTTATTATGTCAGATTGGGGTGTATTAAAGCAAAGCGGTTTAAATCAACAACCATTGGCAGTCATTCAGAATGTTGTTTATCTCTAAATCGCAGTGTTATTACACTGATGGGTGAATAGAAATCAGAACAGTTACAATGATATGAACAGTGCCTTTCACCCACATGTACGTCACTGAGTCGATTTTCGGTAATGGGAGTGACTTTTAGAAAAGGTGTCTTTTCATTAAGCACTAAATCCTCTTTGTGTTTTATATACTATAACTGTGGGCAGTGCTGGTGATTCGCCAATTACGGCGACTGCCACGGAAGTTGACATGACCAGTTGTGTGCATGCGCAAGTTTATATTGGGTTGTTGCCACTCAGATGTTGTGCAATGTACGGGACCATTGATTGTAATTTTAACCAATCTGCACCTTAATTGTGTATCATGTAATTATGTATGTAAAACTAAGTATACAGTCATCACGTGGTACGTCCTTTTGTTCGTAAAGTTGATTCCAAAGAAGTAAAGCTCATTCATCAAGAATCCTCATCTCAAAATGATTGGCAAAAATTATAGATTTACATTGTGAAAGAAAAATACTTTGAGAATCTCTGTCTTTATTTGCACCATATTGTGTATAATTATATTTCTGTAAATTTTGAAAAAAAAAGTTTAATCTTAAGTTATGAGACATTGCAATTACATTGCCAAAAAAAAAATACTCTTAGTGAGTTTTTTTTCTGATCATTCTTCACAAAAATCATGTTTATAAACAATCGGTGAAACTTATGCCTGTGATAGGCTGTATTTCCCAATAGTTGCCATTGGTGACAGGGTACACGCTGCCACTGAAATGAGACATGATTGTGACAAATTGTCACTATTTTGGATGTTATTTGTTATTGTCTAGTAATTTGTGTATGTATACACGGTCATAGTACTGTAAAAGTAACTTAATTGAATAAACTCATAATATACTCAATAGTGCTTAGTCTGTTGCTTAGTAACTAGTGTGTAGGTGTACATGAATCAGGTCATAGTTTAATTTGCAGTGTGCTGGTATGTGAGTGTGAATTGGAAGTTAGTGGTATGCACTTACAGGTGGGTGTATGGAAGTTTACTAGAGTAGGCTGGAGTGATGAATAGAACTGCTTTTGTGATGCAAAGTAGGTCAGTGTGCTTGGTAATTCTGCAGTGTGATGTAGTTAGTTGTCCATCAGTTGTCCAGAAGTGAGCATCTCCTGCAATTCTACTTGTGGTGACTCATAATTTTACTATCAACTGGCAAGGCGTTCAGCTTTGAGTTGGTGGGAGTCAGTGGTAACTTTGCTGTATTAGGTCAGCCAAGTATATAGAGTAGAGGTCTGCCAAATTGGTTTTGCAGCTTGGGGATATTCCTGGGACTTGGAGATTCCACCTTTTGGTGAGGGAGATGGACAAGACGCCAGCACATAGAAACTGTAAGTAGAGATTTCAGTTTAATCATTTCCTAGTAGTTCATTGAACTGTATCGGGTACGGTAGCCCGATTAAATACATCCATATTACGTTTCTTTAGTTGTGTTTAAAACGGCAGGTATTATGGAATGTACTTGTCCCTTTTCCAGATGACCTGCGAGTGGTGAGCCGTCGTAACGCATGGAGCATGGAGCGCAGTCTG